CTCATGAATTTTGTGTATAATTTGAGAAATTGTGTATGCTTGAATAAGGAGATGGGAGGCATAATTGCTGGTCATTTAGTATCAAAGACTCAGTCATTCGATAGGTATTTCCTGAACAACATCACATCAGGGAGCGGCTTTGGATGGATTCAGTTTGGGGAAGGGGAGGATGGCCAGATTTAGCAAATAAAAGCACAGACCGTCCAGTCAAGTGGGACTTTCAGAAAACAAATACATTAAATTAAATTAAATTTATTTAAAAAGATTTTATTGAGGAATTGATGAGGGGAACAGTGTTGGGGAATTGGGGAAGGGGAACAGCCAAGTTGTTGTCCTTCAATCTTAGTTGTGGAGGGCACAGCTAGCTCACCTCCAAGTCCAGTCACCATCTGGCTGCCCATAGGCCACCCTCAGCTCAAGATGCTGTGTTCAATCTTAGTTGTGTGTGTGGGGGGGCACACAGCCCCCCATCCCATGCAGGAGTTGAATGGGCAACCTTGTTGTTAGGAGCACGTGCTATCACCAGCTGAGCCAGCCTGCTGCCTAGTGGCAGCTCAGCTCTGGCACAGCTTACTGGCCCATGTGGGAATTGAACCGGCAACCCTGTTGCTCAGAGCTCGCACTCTTAACCAACTGAGCCACTGGACCAGCCCGACAAATACATTTTATACTGTTAAGTGTATCCCATGTGACATGTGGAACATTTAAACTAAAAAAATATTCATTGCTCATCTGAAATTCACATTTACTGGGCATCCTGCCTTTTATCTGGCAACACTGATGGGGTACAGATGAAACTGGGCTATTCCCTATTGCTGGGCTGATGACTGGAGCCCCACTCCCACAGCCTGCACGGTGGGGTGGGCAGAGGGCAGGGGCACATACTAGGGGCAGGGGAGGATTGTGTGGGTTTGTCCAGCAGAAAAGGGGGAAGGGTGTCCAGGCAGGAGGCACAACTTGGGCAAAGGCCTGGCAAGAGACAGGTTTAAATGCCATTTGCCCTGAGGACCTGACTGCTCCTGTCTTGAGTGGAGGGGGACTCCTGCAATCACAGCAGAAACCAGAGCCCTTGGGGACAATGCCCTTTAAGATCCCTTTGACCCTGCAGGGCCTCTCCTGGCTTTGCCCCCTAGGTACATAGCTCTTATGCAAGTAAGTTTTGCCCTCCCATTTGCCAGAAGGGGAGCAGGACAAGCCTGAGAGCCCTGGGGGAGAGGCAGGAATAACCCAAGGCGGCTGTGGTCTCCACTCCCCTGGCCATATCCCACTTGGATAGGTCACACCTTCCTGCTTCTATTTCCGGAGGCCGGTGCCCAGGTGGGGGATGAGAACTGAACATTTTGATCCATGGACTCCGTTTGAACATTCCAGGGAACCCATGGCAGGTGGACCACCTCATGTGTCCCCAAAAGCCAATGTTCCCAGTTTATCCCACTGGGCTTGCTCAGTGATTTACAGAATGTTCTGGTGCCTGCCGCACAACAAACTACCTGAACTTAGTGACATAGAGCCACCACTCATCCTTCATGCTATTTCTGCGGGTCAAGAATTGGGAAACAGGTGGCTTGTCCCCTCTTCACTGTGTCCAGGTGACCTGGGCTCACATTGAGGCATCTTTGCTTGCGTTGGGCCTGGGCTGGGGTGACTCGAAGTATTGGGTGGTCGGAAAAGTCATGACCTATTTTTTTCATTGCAAAAATGTGTCATGACTTTTCCAACAACCCAATAGATAGTGGCCCAATGAGGTGTGGGTGACATGACTGTAGGACGAGCCTTCATCTCCATCCACCTCAACAAGCAGACAGCACAGCGGCCAAGTCACAGGTGTGGTTGGGTAGGAAGGACCTGGGGACATCTCAGTGGGGGAAAGGCCTTATTTCCACTCCCCAAACTCCTGATTCTGAGAACAAATGGTTTAGACATTCCCTCCACTGGCTTACAATAGCCATGTCCCTAGGGCAGTGACCCTCACTTACATGCATCTCTATTCAGGAGTCTGCCTGAGGGGTCCCCACTTTACTAGGGGGGCAGTTGAGGCCAGGTGGCCAGGAGTCCACTGAGTAGGCCGAAGGCCAGCTTCCTCGTCCTCTCCCGGCATACGCAGCCCAGGAGCTCCAAGTTCCTGCGGAAAACACCAGCCAGACCACAGTGGGACTGGACGCTGTCCCAGTCCTGCAGCCATGGGAAGGCAGGCTATAAAATTGGCCCAGCCTCTTGGTAACGGCTCCCTGAATACTGCCACCCCAAGAGGCTAAGGGGTGCATGCAGCAGCCATTACCTCCCACAGATGCCCACCTGGCCTTCTCCTTGTAGCCTCCAAAGGAAAATATGAAAACCAACTACCACATAAAAGGCAAGGTGTTGCACCTGACACCTGAGGGGAAGCAATCCGGGCACTGAGGGCGCTGCTGGTGGCCAAGGTGGGACCGCTGGGGAGCCAGGCCTGAGCAGCTCTGGTTGGGGGAAACCAAGACACACACACACACACACACACGTGGAAACACGTGGATACAGAACACTCACCCCCAGCCTGTTGCTCCCTGTGGGATCTGTGCCTGACATAACTAGATGCTCCATAAATGGTGACACAGAAAGAGAGTGACACACATGGGCACAAAGACCAGGACAGCATGATAGGGAAAGGAAGTTGAAATGGGTGGGGCCTAGGAAGGGGCTGCTGGGCGACACCCACCATATAACACGCAGCTGTGACACAACCCAGCTGATCATTTATTGGGCAGCCCAGGTCAGAGCCCCCTGAGTGAGCAGCTACAAGTAAGCAAACTGAGGCAGGTGCCTGGTTGTTGTCACTAGCAGCAACTACTGTACACCCGATAGGTTCATGTGGGACATTTTAAAGGACAAATGCCCAGACTGTTCTGGGTCTTCTAAACGGGTACCTGGGACATTTGGAGGTGCCCCTGGTCATCTAGAGGCCCGGGGAGGTCGGCACTTGGGTCATGAGACGTATTGGGCAGGCCCAGGTCTTTCTCAGTCAGCACCCAGCACAGGTAGATGTACACCCAGGCCTCTCCTCCAGGGACATGCCATTAGGCTCCGAAGGAGAGAAAGTAGTGCCACTGGGCTGAGGGGCACCAAGTAGAGGGGGCTTCAGGCCATGTCCTCACCTGCCCCGCCTGTCATGGGGACTCTGGCCTTGGGTGATGAGGCCCCAAATGTCACACTTCAAAGATATTTTTTAACACACCCAATGAAGGTCCCAAGTGTGTGAATGCTGTCACCAGTGAGGCAAAAGCATCAGCCTTCCCATCAGAAATCTATTACAGGGCACAAAGACCCAAATCAGGGGCAGCTGAGGGCCATCCGCCGCCACAGCCCCCCACACAGGCAGTTCTTAATCCAGCGCTGCTCCCACTGCTTGACAGCCGTTGTCTTGTTGGGTGACTTGAGCATGGTGACACAGCCGCACCTGTGGGCAGTTGGTGAGCCATTGTACACGCTGTTCCCCCACCAGGAATGCTGTTTCCTGCACTGCCCCCACACCAAGCTAACTCTGCACGTCCTTCTGTCATGGCTCAGGCATCGCCCCCTTACCTCCCTGAGTGGACAGTGCAGGGGTTGGGAGTTCAAGTCCTGACTCAGAAACTCCCTAGCGTCTGGGGTTGTGTGGCAGCAAAGTGCCCGCACAGGGTCCAGGCTGTGCCCTGGTTGCTCCTTTATTCCTGCACTTGGGTTACCAGGAGCTCCACGAGGCCTGCAGTCACTGTTGATGCCCCAGGACGGGATCCCAGGACCTCCTGAGGCAGCCTGGCCCTTACAGAGACCACAGGGAGGCATGCTCATGGGTGAGGAAACTGAGGCTCAGAGTGGAAGGCTCTCATCCTGAGGTCCTGGGTGCAGGGCAGGGGCAGCACGTGCTGCAGGGCCACAGGCACGGCTCACCTGGTGCAGACCTTGCACTCCTCCGTGGGGTAGGCGCCCAGGTGCAACCTCCGCAGGTGGTCCATCTTGGGCTGGCCTGGTGCCCTGGCAGGCAAGGGGAGATGGAGGGGGTCAGGGGCCTGTACACACATGCAGACACACGCAGACAGGGGCACACACATGCATGCACACGCTGGAACTGACCCATCTCCCAAAGTGTACACGATGCACCCACCATGGCAGAACACAAGGAGTGTTCAGGTGTGCGTGTGTCCACGTCTGCTGCTCACAGACACATGGGGCCTGGATGGTGCCATGCCCTCTGGATGACACCAGAGAACCTGGCAGCAGGAAACCCTGTGGAAGGGGACCCAGTGGCTGGGCTGGGACAGCTGGTTATACTCATGTGAAATACGTAATACGTTTAAAAGTTTTCAAGGGGGTGACTGGTTAGCTCAATTGGTTAGAGTGTGGTGCTGATAATACCAAGATTGCCCGTTTGATCCCTGCATGGGCCACCGTGAGCTGCATCCTCCCTAAGAGTCAACTATGCCATTGTAGCATGAAAGCAATGTGTAACCAATGACCATACCTGTTCCCTAATAAAATTTTAAAAAGAAAAAAAAAATCCCTGTCATTTAAAAAAACAAACAAAAAAAAAGTTTTCAAAACAGAGTTCAAAAGCTTCCCGTGACTGGGGCCGGCCGAGTGGCGCGATGGTTAAGAACTCGCTTGGGATGCCAGAGGGCCCCGGTTCGGATCCCACATATGAGGGCCAGTAACACTGCCCTCCACAGCTAAGATGCTGAACAACAGCTCAACCTGGAGCTGGGCTCCCTATGAGTCGCCGGCGACGGCGTGGGCTGCAGTCCCTGTGGCAGTAGATTGCCATGGGCTACCGTGTGTGGCCAGCAGCCAGCGTGAGCGGCCAGCAGCCGCAGTGAGCGGCCGTCCAGAAGCCGGCGACTGATCTGCCTCGCCAGAGAAGAGCGCAATGATGGTGCCAACTTGGGCCAGTGAAGCGACATCCTCCACAACTAGACTGAAGAACAAAAAAACGACAGCAACTTGTCTGTTCCCCTTTCCCCAATTCCCCAGCACTGTTCCCATCCCCCCAATTCCCCAATAAAAAATCTTTAAAAAAAAAAAAAAAGCTTCCCGTGACTGGCCTCATCATTCATGAAGTCTGTTCTGAAAGCAGACACAGAGGGAAGCCTGTGATTCATCAGGCTTCCATGACATAAGGAAGAAGAGCTGGGAGGGCCTGGAGGTGGGACTGCTTTTCCTTCTGCTCATTGTTTTCTGAAATTCCCACCCAAAGGAACAGGCCACGTGGGGAGTCACGTGTCTCTCTTTACCCAACGAGCATCAAGTGGGGGTGGGAGCCTGATGGTCCTGGTTGGGATTGCCACCAAGGTGCCTCCTGGTTCTGACCTTGGCTCAGTGACTGCACCCGTCTGAGGTGTTCACTTGCCCGTGAGATGGGGACAAAATCCCACCCCATGGTGCTGTGAGCAGTAAAGGGCTAAATTCAGCAGGTTTGGGCTGTCAAGACCCCGCATTTCCAAAGACAGGGCTGGCCCCTGACTGCCAGAGGTCCCCTCAGCCCTGTGAAGGTCCTGCCTGAGTGTTTTATCTACTGGGGGCCTGGGGCCAGGCTGGGTGTGGTTTATAGTGAGGAGCTCGGACCACGTGGTATCAGCTTGACCTCTGCAGGGGCTGGAGCATGAGAAACCAAGGTCAGCCACATGGGCACTGCAAACTGAGTGTGACAGACCACGGGGAAGACATTACATACATACCCAAAGTGCACAAATCAGTCAAGACCAAGGTGACAGTGGAGGGAAGAGACAGGTACTGGGAGGCGGGGGCGATTCAGTAACTGAGTGATGGACGTCTCTAGGGGACAGAAGGAAGCAGCAGGTACAGCATGTGGAAAGGCCCCGAGGCAGAGGCATGAAGGAGAGTCAAGTAGTTTTGGGGGGAACCTCTTGGAAGAAACATGCAAAGGGCCCAAGGCAGAGGACATGCACCTGATGAGGCCATCCAGCTGCAAGGTGGTGGCGCTGCCAGGCAGAGCAGGAGCCTTGCCAAAGTGCAGCCGCAGAGGCTGCTTGGGCTGCAAGCGGCTGACCAGGCCGTCACTGACCGGCAGCCAGTCCAGGCTTGGGATGAGCAGCTGGCTGGGTAGCAGGCAGCACTCATCAATGAGTGCCTCATCTGGTTCGCTCGTGGGGCCCTCATCACGGCCTGCAGGAGAAGGGATGGGGGGACCATGAGGATGTCATGCTCAGCTTGGAGCTCAGGGACCATGTTTGGGCCCAACTCTGCCCTGTCTTCCGGGGTGGCCCTTGAAGCTCCTCCCCCTCTCTGGCCTCAGTCTTATCCTCTGTAAAATGGGAACCCAATCATTCACTGAAAAAATTCAGTGAGCACTGGGTGCCTTCCTGGGAACAGGGCTGCCAAGGGTGACAGAACCTGGCCCACTGGAAATACAAGACCTGGTAACACAAGAGAAGCCACCAGTGCCTAATAATGGCTGGTGTTTAATGAGCACCCATCCTGCACTTGAATCTGTGCTGGGTGCTGGGGAAACAGTGGGGACCAAGAAGATAGAGCTGGTTCAACCTTTGGGTGCTTCTATTCTGGTGGGGGAACTCAGCCAGAGCTTGTATGTTGGTGGGGGGATAGAGCAGAGGGCTGGGCGTCTCACAGCAGATCCAGAGCTTGGTGAGCAGGCGGAAAAGCAGGGACATGCTGTCCTGGGTGTCGGAGGTGGCCGTGTACACAGGCAGGCAACTGGGCTTCAGCAGGCCCCAGATGCGGATGACGACCATCAGCTCCCGCAGCATGCCCAGTGAGGTGCCGTCCCGCAGGAAGCTGTGGCCAGGCCGCAGCGGGGAGCCCTGGGGAAGAAGCACTCAGGCTGTGAATTTAACTGTATGCAGCATCCTAGGACCTCGGTGGGTTCTGGGGCAGGGGGTTCTGGGGAGGGGGAGGTGGGGTGCGCACCTGGTTGGGCAGGCTAGCCAGCAGGTAGAGCACGAAGTCGCCCACCCACTGCAGGAGCTGCTGTAGCGCCTGCAGTGTGTTCATATCCAGCACAAACTCCTCCGTCTTGAGGTTGATCATGACCTTGTCGATGTCTGGAAGAGGAGCGTGGTCAGGAGCGGCTGGCCCCACTTTGTACCCTTGGCCCCTTACCACCCACCATGAGCTGGGGCCAACCCAAAGCCATGAACAAGCGAGTAGGCAGGATTGCTGAGCTGGGGACCCTGAGGGAGGGGCTGGACCAAGAGCCACAGAATGTCCACCGCTGGCCATCAGGATGACCCCACCGACCCTGAGGCCCACCTGTGCTGGTTCCCTTTCAGCTCCCCCCTCCCAGGCATTTGCTCAGGGACATAGCTCCCAGGCCTGGCTGACTTTTTTCGTTCCCCTCTGGGTGACATTTGTCCCCAGCTCCAGGCCAGCCCTCAGGGCTGGCACATCCGCCACCTGCAGGAGACCATGCCTGGCACACAGGAGACACCAGTGGACAGTTCTTGGGTGGAGGCAGGACCCACCGGCATCTGTGATCTTGGCACAGATCTCAGTCAGCCGGTCGCCGGGACTCTTGTCGGGCGTGTTAAGGATATGAGGACGCAGCAGGGACTTGAGCATGGAGCTGACAGCGATGAGGAAGAGCTTGGTGTGGTAGTCACACACGCGAGTCACTGTGCAGGGTGACAGCTTGCATAGTGAGGCCTTCATGGCCAGGATCCGGGTGGAGAGGACCTGGGGGGACGCGCAGCGTGAGCTGGGACACCCTCCTGAGAGGCTCGGGGAAGAGGCTTTTGTCACAGCGTGTAGCTGGGCTGGGCAAACTGAGGCAGCCTATTTAACCTCTCTGTGCCTCATCTCCGACAGCAGAATATGGTAAGAGGACGTGCCTACAGGATGGGTAGGGTGTCAACCTGTGAGTGGCCCTGCCTCCAAGGGACAGTGGGCCACATCTGGGGACATCTGTGGTCGTCACAACAGGGAGTGCTCCTTGCATTAAGGAGTGGGGATCAGGGTTGCTGCTCAGCCCCCAAAGTGCCCAGGATGGGCCCCCACAGAGATAACCCAGCCCAGTGTCAGCAGTGCTGGGGGGGACCTGGTCTCCTGGGACAACTGAATGCACTAATGTATTAAAATGCTGCACAGTTAGGGCCCATAGCGTGCAATTTTATTTCTGCCACGTCCCCACATTCTCCCTAATAATCAGTCTTACTCCAGTCCTATCAGGCTGCTCTTGTGAAGGAGTCCTTTTCCCCATTGTACCATCTTACTGGTCACTGCTGGCAGAAAGAAAAACCACCCATTTCTAGAACCATGCTTGTGCAGCACCCACGCTGACCTCCCACTGGATCTCAGGGCACCGGGTACTCATGGTTTCAGAGGCACACACATGTCATCTGGTCATTGCTCTTTCTTCCCCTTTGATGTCTGAGCCTATTTGCTACCCTTGTCACATTGTGTGGGTGAAATGCCAGGCTCCGAGCAGGCATGTATATGGCACACTCAGAGCAGTTTGGGGACATGGCCCCCTGTCCATGGCAGGGGGGTGGGGCTCCAGGAGTTCATGTCTTGCCCGCAGGGTTCTGATTTTCTACAGAAAACTCAAAGTAAAAAAGTTGGGGGGAGTATTGCCTGGCACTACCTGCTGCAAGGTGGCACTCTGGCGCGTGTACTCCTCGTGCAGCCTGTCCACCAAGTTCTGCACCATGGCAGGCTGCACATGCAGCAGGATGTCCCACCAGTCATAGCCAGTCACCATGCAGTACTCCAGCAGGAAAAGCAGGTGCCGCAGGGCCAGGCCCATGTCCAGCGTGTGGCCCATGGAGGGCGAGATGCGAAGCATGCTCAGCTGTGGGAAAAGATGGCCAGCGAGGCCACAGAGGGCACACTTAGGTTCTGGCCACACCTGGGGCTCCTGGGCCACACCACCCTGGTAGGCATCAAAGACTGCCATGCAGAAACGTTAATGGGCTCGCAGGAGCTGCACACACTGGATGTTGATGGAGTCATGCTTCCCAGAAACTGCCTGAGAGCCCACCCTACGTCTGCAGGGCACATCTGGTGTGATTAGACCTGTCATTTAGGCTCCACGGAAGACGCAAACCCAAGTGGGGCCATAGGTATCCCATCATTCCCCAGGAAAGCTGAGCACCTCACACAAGGACAGGCCTGTGGAACGGTGGTGGGCAAGGCTACCACACATAGGTGCCATGGAAATGGGACCAGAATTTGAGCAGGAGCCAAAACTAGAAGTGACAAGCTGGTGCCTGACAGTGACTTGACAGAGCCCATGTCCTCCCAGGCAACAGGGGTGGCGTGGGGTAAGGACTGCTCCAGTCCCCACCGCACAGGTGGCTTTGATACACCCAGGCCAGTACTTGCCTTCCCGTGGTTGTCAATGCCCACGAGGGCCAGAGAGGTCCAGGAGAGCTGCATGGCCTTAAAGTGGATGGCAGAGCCCGTGGTCCGAGGGCGCTTGATGGCCGGCTCGTCCACAGCACGTGTGGCCACAGAGCTGTAGAAGACAGCCATGGTCTGCAGTGACAACCGGTGTACGATGTGAACGCTGCCATCATGGAAGGCCAGGGCCAGCCCTGGAGGAGGAGCACATGCAGGGTCAGGCGAATGACCACCCAGCTCTGGATGATAAGTGCCTGTCCTGGGGAGGGGTGAGGCCCAAGTTGCCCGGGACCCAGTGGCCCTGTCAAGCCAGTTGTCCCAATAGCCGCTCCCCTCCTTTGCTAACAGCCCACGATAGTCAGTGCAGCACCCCACTGCCAGTTCAGGCTGCACATCCCCCACTCCCTTGCAGCTGGCACTAAGTTTTGGCTGATGTGAGAAAACTTACAATTTCCAGGGGGCAAGGTGGGAGGGGAGAGGGGCACACAAAAGGCCTTGTGGCAGTAACAGAGGTCGGTGAGGTCAGAGACTTGAACCTAAAGCTTGTAATGAACATGTAGCTGGGTTGGGAGGCTGTCAGCTGTCACAAAACTTTAAGCCTAACTCGTTTATGGTCACAGGTCCAGGGACTGAACCTAGGATCAACAACTCGGCTGCTAAAATAAGATAGGGGGGGCTGATTATCTGGAAAGTTTGCCCCAGTTCTCAACCTCTGCTTTATCGATTTCTAACACATCTTTACATGTTAAAAATGCAGCTTTTCATCAGCTAGCCTCATAGCCCTTTGAGCCTCTGTCCTGAAAGCGGGGCCACCTGCTTGCTGGGAACTGATTCGAGGCCAGTAGGCTCCCACGGCCCTCAGACCCAAGCCTGAGTCGGAGCCCGCCGTACCAAGGCCAGGGTAGAACTGCGTGTCGCTGGCCACCTTCAGATCAGTGTTGGTGAGCGAGATGGGCAGCTTGGGCAGCGCCACGGCAGACACTCGGTCCAGGTCATTGGTGGCCGACAAGATCCGCCATTTGAGAATCATGGGCTGCTTGTCGCCAACTGAAAAGAGAAAGGGACACAGGATAGCAATGGAATGAAGACAAGACAAATGCTACAAATGGGCCCCCACAAGGGGCACCAGTCAGGTCCCCTTCTTCAATCCCTGTGCCTGCCCCTTCTCAGGGTCCCGCCTCAGCCCTGACCACTGGGTACCATGCCCCAGCTAGCTGCCTGGTGGAGGATGTGACAGGAGGTGGCTAACAAAACCCAGTCCTGAGGCACCATGGGGATGGGTAGGAGGTATCCCCTGGCTCTTCAACAGACCTGATGAACTGAAAGGGAACGCCACCCCAGACCTTGCTGCCACACATACCCTGAAACTGCCCTTACAACTCCGGCAGCTTGCGTTGGATTTTGTCCCTTATGATCTAAAAGGTCCTAGGTGAGACTCCAGCTCTCCCACCAGATAAGACATGTCCCCTTCCTGTGTCCACCCCTTGGCGTGATGATGAATGCCTCCCTAATGGGGCAGAGTGATTCCTGTGAACCGGGCTTGGCCAGTGGGCGCTGGTGAACGTGATATGAGCAGAGGCTCAAAGAGGGCTTGTGCTGGGACGCTGGGCCAGCGGGCTGGGCTACAGGGCCGGCACCCAGGGAGAGTGGGCACAGCTGCCATCAGCAGCCCGAGCCCGGAGGCTGATGGCAGGCACAGGAACCAGGCAGGCACAGCGGGTGCCCTACTTAGGACAACACAGGCTGTGGTTCTGAGCCTCAGTTTGGGGCTGGTTTGTTACATGGCAAAGCAGACTGTCACAGGGCTCCTCTCTGCCACCCATGCGTCTCCAGATCTGTGCCCCCGAGTGGCTCCTCAGTTTATAAACCTGCTGCAAACCCAGCAAGGGTGTCTCCGCAAACATCACCCCCCCCCCCCGCAGAGGAAACTGAAGCCCAGGGAGGTCACAGAGTGGAATTCTGTACACAGAATGTAAGGGTAACACCACAGTGGGGTGTCCAGGGAGGGCCTGCAGGACAGGCACTGTGCCCAGCCATTTACACTCTTCCTTTCCCCTGACCAATGCCTGGAGAGGCAGAGGCCCCCTGTAGGGCCACCAGCTGCTATCCACAAGCTTCCCAGGATGCTGGTCCAGGGACAGGGCAGTGGTGGCTCTCTTCACATTAATTTCTCTGTGGCCAAAATGGGCAGCTTATGTAAGCATGGGCAGGGGGCAGAGCCGCTAGGGGCCTTTTGAAACCGTTTCATTAGTGGCTTCTGCTTAACGTCCCAGCAGATCCAACCACTTCAGGGTCCATTAGCACTAATCAGCAAAAAGCCGAGCTTTCTTCCATGGAGAAAACATCTGTGTCCGGGGAAGAGGCAGCATGAAACCTGGGGGATGAGGTTTATCCCCTACTCCCCCCAACCCTGGCTTTAGCAGATAAAAACCAAGTGGCTTTTTCCAGGGTCTGTGTCAGCGAGGAGAGGGTGCTTATCTTGGTAGGGCATCTTTGGGCCACCTTGAGCCATGGGGGCTTTGCGTGGGTGTGAGGATGGCAGAGGGGGAGGTGAGGCAAGCCGGTGGGTGTGTTCTTGGCAAAGTCAGTTAAACCCTCCAACCTCGATTTCCTCACATTGTACCAGGGTTTCCAGAAGATTCCATGGCTTTTAGGATTGAGTGCCTCCCTGTGGCCCCATTCTAGCTCCTAACCTCGTGCCCCAGGACCTTTCCACTGCCATTCTTCTACCAGGCACATGGTCTCCACAGGAGGTTTCAGTGTGAGGTGGTAAGGCTGCCTGCTGAGTGACTGTGGGCAAGGACTTTACCTCCTGAGCCTCAGTTTCCCCAAATTAAAAGTCAAATGCCCCAGGGCCGGCCGAGTGGCGCGATGGTTAAGAACTGGCTTGGGACACCAGAGGGCCCCGGTTCGGATCCCACATATGAGGGCCAGTGAC